CGAAAATAAGAAATAAAACTTATATAATAAATATATTAATTCATTAAATAAATATTAAATTAATTTAATCAAAATATAATTTAAATATCTCAGTTCAATTTGTAAAAATAAAATATAGTTTAAAATTTACTTATATTAAAAATATAAAAGAAAATAAATAGTATTAAATTATTGATGAAGCAGAAATTAATTTCAAGTAATAATATATTACTTTATTATTATTATTTTTTTTTTGTTAATAAAAATGATTATTATTAAATATTAATATTAAAATTAATATTCTATACGCAAAGTAAGGCTATAAAGAAAATTTTTAACTGTCATAATATTTTTGCTAAAGGCAAAATTACATTAGATTATTTATTACGGATAAAATAGTAGAGAGATCAAACCAGTTTTTAAATATTTCGTCTTTCTAAAGATATATTTTTAATTGTTAAAATACATCTGAATTTTAGTTTTTAAATTTATAAATAATTTAATATTAAACTATATTGGAATTTTGAAAAATACTTTATATATATAAAAATTTCTTGGACAAAATCGTTGAAGGAAAATACAAAAAATTTTATAAGAATTCGTGATAGAAATCATTAAGATGAGATATGTTTTACTTTGTATTTTCTCATGAATCAAACAGCTTGCCAAGCTTGGTAAATTTATTGTGAAGACGAGCAAATTATCCAGATGACAAACGAAAGAACTATCTTTTATTGGTTATCGACTGCTACGTAATGTCTTTGCATTCTTATATAAGTAGTCTTTCACAGACACATAATACAACTGTTGTTGACAGAACAAACAGAGGAACACATCAAATAAAACAGAACATAATACAATAAAGAGACTATGAAGAATTCAGTAAGTATAATTATACGATTCTCTATATAATATTACACCCATTTTATTTATTTATTTATTTAATATTTTTCTTCCAGATTGTTTTAATTTTAGTCGTTTTGATGATAATGGGCGCCTTAGCTGATAATATCAAGCGAATTGGTCATCACAGTGGATCTGGATATAGTGGACACGGAATCCCATCTGGAGGTAAATTCGGTGGTATTGGACACCACGGTGGATATGGTAGTCATAGAGTTTCTGGTATACACGGTGGTAAAGGTCACGGCAGCTCATTTGGCCATGGTATTCGAAGCCATAGTGGATACGGAAGCCATAGTGGATATGGAGGCCATAGTGGATATTATGGACACAAAGGATAATAACTGTGGAGGCAAACGTGACAAAAAAATGAATATCGTTGATAGTATTAATTCTTTTCTATTTACTTATGTTAATGTAACGTATATAAACATATCTTGTTTTATTTCAAGTAAATTCTGTAACAAAGTGTAATAGAATCATTTTTTTATCATAAATTGTGAGTATTCTACTCAAAAAAATTATGTGCTAATGGTGCAATCTAATAAATTGAAAGAATTTTGAAAATAATTTATTTATCAGTATATGAGTTTGATTTATTAACATATGTCTATTTATTAAATGAATAAATACGTGTTANAATAATGGCAAAACTGAAGCTCTGGAGATCTGAAAAATAATTAATTGATTAATTTAATTTCTTCTGCTGGAGCATATATGTGCCGCATCTATGCTCCAGCAGAAGAAATTAAATTAATCAATTAATTATTTTAAAATTCGCATTAAAATAAAATTTAAAAACACTATTACTTTAAATCAATCGTACTTCAATTTAAAATTTCATTATTTGTTCTGTTTTTTATTAAGCTAGTTTCTTGTTTTTTACTCTTTTCATCCTGTCATCAATCACTAAGAAAACCTTTTTAGATCATGGATTCGATTAGGCCACCAATAAGAATGGACTAATACTGAGGACCGGACATATCCGGGACAGGACTATAGGATTCATATGATAAGACAACGCAACACTTCTGCCAAGAGGAGAAGTGCTTCCCGAGAGGACTTTCACCCCTATGTAGCTGTTAGAAACGTGAAAAAATACGGAAAATTCCACGTTGCTCGCCGTTTAATGAGGCGCAAATCCGTGACAAACTATCAGTGTTCAGAGGTTTTATCCACTCGATCACTGGTAGCTATCCGGGACAAACTATCTATGAAAATTTCCTGAGTGATGCTCGCTCAGATACGATTCAGGATCTCCTAGAGAAGTAAGCTGACGCCTAACTGCCTTGGACATCCGACCGTGCTTGTAGAAAATAGTTCAAAGAATAACAGAAAAAAATTCGAATAATGTGAATATGATAAAAATATAAAATCGTATATAATTTACTTCATACTTTTATGAAAAATTTAAAATAAACATTTCTCAGTACATTAAAATTGTATCTAGCCGTAAATCTCTTCGAATAAACTAACAATATAAACTAATCTTTACTTTATTCTACGACAGCGATGCTCTTTCTTCACTTATATTGAATTTGTCTGCACATTTAAAAAAAAAAATTTATTTGAAAAGTACTCTGACTTTTTAACACTGATGTACAGTACATATATATTATGTTGCAACATAAAAAATATCGCTCTTTTCCCCAAATAAATTTGATTTTTGCAAATTCGTTTAGCTAGGCTTATTATATCCTTTGAATTCTAGTTATGGTCAATCAATATAATTAGGAAACTATACATCAATTTGCGTTTTTTCAATTTAAAACTATAATAAAAGCGAGTTGAAGTAAAATATAAAAGAAATAGATAAAAACAATTATATTTCTTTTGCCTATTTCCACTCTGTGAGGGCCGTTTTCTAATCCTACCCATCATGGATTGTGAGCCTGCAGAGTGGTTAGGGCAGGCCCACGATCCAA